GAATATATAGAACAAACCAAAACCATGTTCAGTTCTTGCTGGCTGCTGTGGCTGAAGGAAGGCTCTTGGGTTCTGCTCCCTGTTGTTGAAAACAGCAGTGGGTTGGCCAAAGACCTGCCAGCACCATACCAAGCCTCTTTCTTTGATGTAATCAGGAATGGAATTTTCCTGGAAGAACATTTCCTTTTTCCACCTCTTACCTGGAGGCCTGTCATCATTCCCTTTCTGTTCAAGTTTCTCCTACCCATTCTCTAGATTATCACCTCCTCCAAGAAGCCTTCCAGTCTATCCTGGGCATTTCCTCTCTGCTTCTTCAGTTCCACAGGCCTTTCCTGACTGTACCCATGTCACATGTCACATATTATTAAATTACATTTGTGATGATGTCACTCCCAATGAAATAGACATGTCTATTCTAGGAACAAAACTTGACCATGGCCTACACAGGTGGCCTTCTCCCTCCCCGCCTGTCTCTGGTTATTTGTCTATCTCTCTACCAACCTGAGTCCTTCTGGCATCACAATGTCATTCATTACTGGTCATGGTGTCTGTGTTGCCCTGGATGTAGGCGCGCGGGGGCCTGGATGATGTCTGCCTGTCCACCACCGGATCCCTAGCTGGCCTGCATGGGGCATCCTGGGAGGTTAGTGCTATTATTATCATCATTTTCCAAATAGGGAAACTGAGTCACTGCGGGGTTAGTGACTTGCCAGGGTTACACACCTAGAAGAGGTGCAGCCGAATACACACTCAGGCCTTGGGCGGGGCTGCAGAGCCAGCACAGGCCTCTACTGCCTTCGGCGCGTCCGCTGCAGTACTTTTCTTTGCCTTTGTTCAGTGAGGCTGGAGGGCTTTGTATATGAGATAGACAGGAAGGGACAGCCACAGACACTTGGGGGTCCCCAGAGGCCCAGACTAACCCTCAGCCAGACTGAAATTGTGCCCTAGCCCAGAGCTCAGCTCTCAGCAGGAATGGAGTAGAATTTCCCATCAGACTCGGAGGCTACAGGGCCTTCCCCTCGGACCTCACCACTTGCCCTCCCCACCCCTGAGGCCTGAAATTCCACTGGGATGTTTCATTGCTCTGAGGTCTGGTGTCCCTGGCTGAGGACACCGTTAGCTCCCCGACCCCACTCCCCAGCCACTGCCTGGCTGTGAAAAAGTCACCCCCAGGGTTGCCATGGAGACACAGAGCTTTGGAGGAGCCTAGTCAGGCAGAGTCTCTCCAGCAACCCCGTGGCCCTGGAGGCCTCTGCCCTCCGCCACCAGCAGAGGCTCCCCAGAAGGGTCCCCACCTAGCCGGCTCCAAGCCCTTGGGGTCCATCCTGGAAAGACGTTCAAAGGACTTGGCCATTCTTGAATGAGCGCCAGGAGGGAATGTGGTCTCAGCGTCAGTTTAGCCAGCCACATGGGTGGAAGGAATTTGCCGTTTCTCTTAACAGTGATCCCCTCATGATTTACATGGGGACACTGTCCGAAGGCCCGGGCTGACAGATTACAGTGGAAAATGAAATGCCAAGACCCAGGCATCTTGCTGAGCTAATTACCCTCAATGAAACCCAGCTGACTGAGGGTGGGGCCAGGACAAGGCCAGATCATTGGACCCAATCCCCTGGGGATATGAAGGCCTGCCGTGGCCATGACTGGGCTTACTGCCAATCATCTACCAGGCCTGGGGTCAGCCAACAAAAATTCCAGGACAGTCAGTCTGGCCAGCTCTCAAGACAGGTCACCTTCAGTGCAACACAGCCAGGCATCCCCAGGGATGGCCATGGCCTCAGGATTTGCTGCTGCTCAGGGAGCTGGAGATCCCTGAGACCCCAGTTACAGGGTCCCATTCTACTTGTGGGGAGAGGAGGGCCCAGGCGGATAGGGCAGGCCCCTCTGAGCCCTGGGCATGGCTCTGGACTGGCTGCCATCTCTGACCTCCGCCTCTGGCCCATAGTGTCTTCCTGGAGGCCCAGAGCCTGCAGCAGCTGGCCATAGAAGCTGCCTCCAGAGGCGTCCTGCAATTCAGGGTCAGCTCTCTGGGCCTCATGGAATTGGTTAAATGTTACCTGAGAGTCTACTATGTGGCCAGGTCCAGGGCAGGGTGTTGGGGTGCAGCCACAGACAAAACCCAACCTGATGGCAGGCTTATAGCCCTGTGGGAAAGACAAACCTCCCTAGCAGCAGTCTTACAAACTTTCCCAGCAAAAGCTCTTGGTGCCATGAAAACACACAGAAGGGGATTTGGCCTATTCCAAGCATCAGGGCCTGGGGCTGTGCTGCAAAGCTGAGAGCAGAAAGCTCAGAAATGGGTAATTGGGCAAAGGAGGAGTTGTTGCCTGGGAGAGAGTTCCAGGCAGAAGGAACAACATACGCAAAGGCCCTGTGGCAAGAGGAAATGCAGGACACTCAAGGAACCAAATGAAGCTGTACAGCTGGAGCCCAGAGCCAAGAACATGGAGGAGGTTATTGTACCTTTAAAAAAGTGATTTCAGATATGCCTCAGGAGACATGATGTGTCCAAGAGTAGGCGTGCTCCTCCTAATTTCCCTCTGGCTTTCAGGAACCTCTGCCCCTACCCCTGAAGGGGCAGCTCTGTAGACCACTCCAGCTGCTTGGACCAGAGGAGGACCTCATGGGACCCATTAGGGGTCACCCAGAGCCCAGAGTCCCTCAAGAACTGGATAGAGAGTCATGGTAACTAAAAGCAGCTGATGGTGGGCCCCGGTCAGAGGCAGCCTAGACCACTGATGAGCCATGAGCAAGCGATGCTATGGAGACTCCAGCGAGGCAGCGGCCAGAGCCTCCAGCAGCTTTACACCTGGCCCACCACTCACTGCCTGCCTTCTTTTCCCTTGACCCCTAGGCTGCTGGAGCCAGGTCACTCTGGTGTGTGTGCCTCACCCACTCAGAACCCCTGGAGGACAGTGGTGGGTGTTGGTGGTGTAATTGATCATTTCTGGGCCCTGGAACAGACGATGTAGGTGGATGGAAGTCTAAAGGATGGAGGAATGAATGAGCTAAGGAACGGCCTCTGTCCTGAGACACTGAGAGCCCCTCTGGCCTTTGCCACTGGCTGCCCCTCTGTCCCCGTGAAGCCTGGCCATGGCAGGGCAGGCTGGCCTGGGTGTCACGGAGCAGGAGAGCCTGGAGCTGCCAGGTGGGCAAGCAAGTGCCCCTGGCACCCACTTCCTCCAGCTTGGCTCTGGCCTGGTTCCTTGGGACACAAACAGGTCTGACAAGTTCCTAGGCAGCCGAGTCCTTGATTTCCAGGAAAGCCAACTCTTAGAGAGCAGAGGGAACCAGGCCTGGGTAGAGGGAGGCCCCTTTCAGAATCTCCTCCACCTCGCCCCCTGCCCCCCATCTCACTAGCAGACACTGCCCCTTGTGTCCTGAGCCAGGGAGCTCCAGGCTGGTGGGGGACACCTCTCTCCCTACCTCCTCCACAGGGAACAAGGGACTCAGGAGGGCAAGGGACAAAGAAAGGGATCTTGTGACCCCAAGCTCAGTCCCTGACCCAAATCCCACTGCACAGGTCAATAAGAACGTGATAAGATGCTCAACATCATTAATCGTTAGGGAAAAGCAACTTAGAACCAAAATGAGATGCCACTTCACACCCAGTAGGATGATTGTAATTTAAAAAAAGGGAAAATAACAAGTTTTGGTGAGGATGTGTAGAGAGTGGAACCCTTGAACTTCACTGGTGGGCATGTACTAAAAGCTATTGAATTATATACACTAAAATGAATTTTATGGTATGTATATTATATGTCAAAAAATGTTTAAGTATGCACTTATAAAAGGGCTCTAAAATAAATAAATACACTCTCTTTTGTGTCTGTCTTCCATGCAATGTAATGTATCTGGGTGCCACCATGTTGTAATGCATATCAGTTTATTCTTATTGCTAAGAGTCCAATGCACAAATATATTAGCATTTATTTATCAGTTCTCCTCTTGACAGATAGCTGTCTTGTTTCCAATTTGGGACTCATCAGTCTGTAAATTCTTGCATATGTCTCCTGAAGGATATATGACAGGGACATTGATAAATACCTAGCCTGCTGGGTAAGGATATATATATTTTTTAACTTTATTAGCTACTGCCAAATGATTTTCCAAAGGTTTGACTCACTTTACACCCCTGCTGCCAAAATCTAAGAGTTCTGTTTGTTCCATACCCTCATCAACACTTGGTATTGTCACTCTTCTTAATTTTAGCCATTCTGGTGTGTGCAAACCTTTTGGAAGTTTTCATTTGCATTTTCCTATGAGGAACGAGGTTGAGCATCTTCCCAGGTGTTTATTGGCCATTTGGAGATTCTTTTACGTCACCAACCTGTTTTTTGTTTTTTGTTCCCTGGTTGTTATCTTTCCATAATTGATTGATGTGTAGGATTTCTTATAAGTCTGTTTGGGAGAAGGGGATCTTTGTTAAGACCTGCTGTTGCTAGTATCTTCTCTAGCACTGTGCCTTGCTTTTGCACATTCTTCATGTTGTCTCTTGCTGATTTTGATGAAGTCCAATTTACGCATTTTTCAATTATGGTTGGTGCTATGTAGGTCCTGTTTAAGAACTCCTTGCCTACTCCTTAAGCATCCCGCGAGCCCACCCCTCCTCTCCACCTTCTTTGCCTCTCCTCCCAGCTCCCAGCTGCCAGGTCTCCCCTGGACTGTTCCCGCCTCCAGCCTGCTGTGTTCCCACCCCTGTTCTTGTTCTTCTCATTCTATGATCTTCCAGCCCAGGGACAGTGCAGGTTCATCTCTGTGTCCCCGGGACTGGCACTGGGTCTGGCATGCACTAGATTCTCAATAAAAGCTTCATAAATGAAAGCAATGTCCTGTGGCCCAGCTGGGGATCATTAAGACTGTCAATTAGTTCTAAACATCAGCTCATCAAGAACATTTGAGCAAAGCTGGGATGTAAAAAGTTTTGGAAAAACCAACAACACAGGAATGTTTAGCTTTCTCCCCAACTGGAGCATTAATCACGAAAACTCAGACCTTGTTAGCATTATTTATTCTTGCTTAGCCCCCAACCCATGGGGCAAGGGGAGCCTTTTCTTTGCACACACTGGCTGCAGGGGCTCCCTGGCAGTCACCCCCCCTCCCAAGGTTTGCTGCCTGTGATTGGGGGGAGATCGTTGGTCTCCTAGTCCTTCTCTTCGCCATGCGTGATGACATAGCACAGGTTCCTGTAGTCCAGGTTGCCACACACATCTGGTGGGAAAGCCGCAAACATCTGCTTGATCTGGGGAAGGAGCAGGAGTCAGCCTGGACCGGGTCCGAGCTGGGGCCAGAGCAGGGGGTCATCTGAGAGCATCAGGCAGAATGTTGTTCCCTTTCTCCAGATGGAGGCCTCAGGGGTAGGACACGGAGCCCACGCCAGCAGGCCAGAGTCCCCAGACACCCCCGCTCATCCCTGTTCTCATCCAAGGAATCAAGGGAGGCATCATCTCAGCATCTAAAGGAGACTGATCCTGCGGGGGAAGGGGCTGCTGGAAGGGCCTGTGCTGGGCTGCACCTCCTAGGAGGGCTCTCAGCAGCACTGGGCAGTCTTGAGAAGCCCCCACTTACCTCCTCCTCACTGAACCGGTCTGCCTGAGTCATGAGCTTCTCTTTAATGCTGCCCAAGGGAGAGAAAGGGCCATGTTCAGAGGAAGGGCCACACTGGGCAAATCCCAGGGGTGATGAGGGCAGGTGGGCTGGATCAGGAGGACACCAACCAGGGGCTGGCCCTATGGCCCCCTGATGGCCATGTGGTCTCAAGTGGACACTTCAGCTCTCAGCCTCAGTTTCCTCCCTTGTGACATGGACTCTTCTCCCAGCATTAGGTGGGAACCAAACGAAGTGGTCTTGGGGCCCCAACATGACTTTGGGGTCCTCTCTGACATCCCACTGTGTATTAACAAGGAACCTCCAAGTCACTGAGGGGAGCCTCGTTGCCTTAGTTCTAGATGGAGTGCTTGTTCAGCTGAGATTTTCCCTGACGTCTGCAGAGGGCTTAGAGCATGCCGGTGCTGGCATTCAGCCACAGGGCCAGAAGGCCTGCCCTGTCCCTGTGCATCTGGGCCTACAGGCCATTTGCCCCTCAAAGCCCTGGCAGGTGAGTACCATTACCCCCTTTTACAGAGAGGGAAACGGGCTCAGGAGGGGAGATGATTTGCAGTGGCAGGTGGGCCTGTCCCCCAGGGGGCGTCCAGGAAAGCAGCCAACTGGTCCAAAGGAGAGGCCAAGGGGAGGTATGGAAGCCATGTCTGAAGCCATGTGAGGGGCTGATGCCCCCAGGAGCTCTGAGGGCCCCACGGGGGCCCAGACAGATCAGAGGGCTGAGCTGGGCCCCGAGCACCCATGGTGTCCTATGGTGCCAGCAACAGCAGGCCCTCCTAAGGACTGACACAAATTTTCCATTATTTATGCTACTGCAGGATAGTCACAGTTTCCAAATCTAAGCTGGGGACTTTTCATACTATTTCAACCAGAGCCTCCTCTGTGGCCTGCCTGGCAGGCAGCCATGTCTTCCAAGTCCCATATCCCGGGAGTGGTATCTTCGGTTCCCAAATTGGGTTCCCAAATAGTCCTTTCCAGACCCCGCCTCATGCTGGTGGGAGTGAAGGTGGGTGGAAGTAGAGGGACCAGTCCAGATTGCAACAGGGGGTGCCCCCAGTGCCTCCCCTGGTCCCCAAGATTGGGATGTGAACCCCAGGCCCCGAGGAAGGGGTGAAGGAGGGACCTGAAGCTTGGAGAAACCCTCAACAACCCCTCCCCTCCCCGGGGAGTGCGTGACTCACAACGCTGAGGGTGGGTGACGGAGATAACATGTGGGGCAGACAGATGCTCCCCACCTCCCCCTGCCCTGTCCTGCCCTCTCCCACCCCACCACCGTGATGCCGTGGTTCTAATAGGAGCAAAACTCAGTAACTGGCAAGGAAGCCTGTGCCTGGAGGAGAAATCCTGCCTGCCCATGGCCACCCATAGGCCTGGTAAAGCCTTGGCGGCTCTGAAGGGACTGCCCAGGAACAGCTCAGCAGTGGGCTCAGTGACCCAGCCCACGGACAGGCCACCCCTGCCACAACCATTGGCTCTTCATCCTGTGCTTTCACTGGGTGCAGGCTCCTGGGCATAGCAGGCATCTGGGCCCCCAGCTCTGTGGTGCCAGCCCAGTGGCCCACCAGCTAGCTGCCCACCTCACTCTCTGCCTTCCCAGCCAAGCTGGGTCTTCCTGGGGGCCCCCCCTTCCCTTTCCTCACCCACTCGGGTGGTGGCTGACATTTGGCCCACGTTTCTCTCCAGAACCCTGTAGCCCACTGGCCCTGGCCTCTGGGGATTTCACTTACCTACCCGCTCCCTTCTGTCCTGACAACCAAGGCCCTTGTGGAGGCTGCAACCCTCCCTTCTCCTCCTCCAGGCTGGCCTCCATGTTGGCTAACTTCTTCTCAGGCTCTCCCATGTTCCCAAGGCAGACCTGGGATCCAGGGCCTGGTGCGTGAGCTACCCCAACACAGGCCCTGCCTCATCCCCATGTTCAGTCTCACTGAACCCACATCCACCTACAGCCTCCAGCTATAGCCCGCTCTTCACCAGCCCCCACACGTCAAGCATTGACTCTTCCCTGTGTCCTGTACCTAGAATGTTCAGTGCCCCAGCCTAGGCAACACTTCATCACCCTTCAAGGCCCACCTCTACCCCCGCACTGCCCTTACCACCAGGAGGTCCTCCTTTGGGGAACCCACGCCCCCTGTACACCTCCACAGGGAAATGGGGACACCGAGGCCCAGAGAGGGCAAGGGACAGCAAGTGATGGCTGAGCTTGGCAGGCCAGTGCTTCTGGCTCCTGGCCAGACACTGGTCCAGCTGGCTGAGTCCTGGGCAGGAGAGGAGACTGTGCTGCACCCCCGCCCTTATGTCACCCCAGCTTGCTCATCATCTGAGGCTCTAGAGAGAGCAAAACTGAATCAGAGAGCAGAGGAGACTTACAAATCAGCTTTGATGAAGCCTTTCCCTTCCGTGTCGAACACCTTAAAGGCATGGAGAATAGTCTCCTCCGGGTCCGTACCTAGAAGCAACATGCACGAGACAGGAACAGTGCCGGGGTAAAAAGGACAGGCAGGGGCTGGGAGTGGGGCTGGGTCCCCTGGCGCCTGCCTTGGGCAACAAGGGCTTCCTCCCCAATCTGTACTTCAGTGAGCGCCAAGCCCACTTGAGGCAAGAGGAGGGAGGTTTCAGAGAAACAAGGAATATGAGTAATAGCCAAGGGTGCCACATGGAGTTATGAGCAGCCTGCACAACTGTACATGGATAGCCTGGATAAGCACCTCCTATCTGCTTAACCCTCCTGGCAACTGACCCGATTTTGCAGATGAAAAAAATGGAGACTCAGAGAGGGTAAGTGACTTGTCCAAGCTTTCACAGCTGATGCTCCTGCATGATGAGTGAGGGGGCGGGCAAGTCTGAGCTCTTTTGTTACCCAAGGTGCGCGTGAGGGGTGTGGGTGGAGGAGAAACAGTGCTGAACTTGGTGGTTGAAGGTTGGAGCTTGAGCAGTGGCACTGGATGGGTCTGAAAGATTGCCCAGGCCAGAGCTGGAGTCTGTGTACCACCTGGATATAGAGGGGAGTTGCGAAGGGGGGAGCAAGGCAGCACCGCCAGAGAAGTTCTGGTTCTATGACTTTTTCATAGTGTAGGCTTTGGGGAAATATGTCATTAGAAGAAATGACTCTAGTGCTATAGTGGGATTGAATACTCAGGTCCCCCATTGTATAGATGGGGAAACTGAGGCCCAGAGAGAGGAGGGGTCTCACCCAAAGCCTCACCGACTGTGTGAATGACAGTAAGTGACCTGGTGACCCCGACCTGGTGCTCTTTCCCCTTTGTCACACAGCTGTGTCATCAGTGACATGGAGTCAATGATGGAGGTTGCTTCCTACCTCCAAGGATCAGAGGAGATAATGTGTCATCAGTGGTAAAGATCTTGACAAACATTAGTCAGTCGTGGCCACAAACACGTCTGAGGGCTCTGGAACCTGCAGCTTCAGAGTTAATCCCATAGAACTCCCAGAATGTCCCCATGTATTGATGTCCCCAGTTTGTCAAAGAAACTGAGGCTCAAACAGGTTCTGTTAGTTGGCTGAGGTCCCCACTAATGAGGGGAGGAAGGGTTTGAAGCCAACAGTTTGGACCTCCAGAGCCCCCTGCATATTCGGCCACTCTACGCCTGCCTATCGGACCAGGTCAGGGCCAGCCGTGTCTCCCCCATCACACTGATGTGCATCCAGGACAGGATGGTATCCGAGTCATCGGCATCTCTGAGGCTGGCCCAGAGGGACCAAGCCTGGCACAGAGCTGGCCCTGCCAGCCCAGGAGCTCCTGGAGGGCAGGACCATGAGCTTCCCATCTCAGAGGCTCAGCTGGGGCAGCTCTAGGCCCTCACAGCCTGGACTTGTAGGGATTATGGTGGGAAGCGAATATGGGGTGTCAGCTTCCCAGAGTCTCACTGCTGGGCAGGCTGCACATGGACCAGGAACCGTGGGCTCAGGCCCAGCATCAGGACATTCACCTGTGCCGTCATTCCCTCCCTCCTCCCAGGGAGGGCCTCTGCTCTGGGAAAAGTGAGCCTCTTCACCTGGGCTGCAGGCTGGCTGCACCCTCTATCACTGTTGGGAGTCTTATGACAAAGGGTCTTTCCTGCAGTTAGAGGGATGAGGCAGTGCCTGTCCCAGCCCCCAGCTCCTGTCCCCAGCACGTCCCTAGGCAGGCTCAGCTAAGTTCACCCACAGGCTCAGATGGGGCCCTGGTCCCAGTGTTCCTGCAGAAGTGAGAAAAAGCTGCAGCTTGTGTTCCTCCTGGCCCTGGGTCATAAACTCTGAGCTCACCCACTGCTGATATGAGCTTTGGGCCTCCCTTTAAAGTCAATGGCTGGAGTCACATGTGTCTTTTCCTGGTTGGGTACCCCTGCCCAGTCCCCTGGACTTCTGAGCTCTTTAAGGACATGACCATGGACCTGGGAATGGCACTCCTAATGGCACTCCTAAGGCAGTTGGGCAGCTGCAGGCTCACAGCCCACCCATCTCCAGCCCTCATTTCCTCATCTCTAACACAGGAGGGTAGGCCACAGGTCAATTATTGGTTTCCGTCTAGCTCTAGGGTCGCCAGGACATTGTGTGTGGAGGCAATTTTCTTCACAGCAGGTCATGCATGACCTATGACAATATTACGATTTTTTTGTCAGATAAAACCTGTGGATCAGATTAGGTAGGATCACCCCTGTGGTGAATTGAATGGTGGCACATGGAAACGGCCCATATCCTCATCCCCGGAACCTTGGAAATGTCCTTTGCAGATATAAGGAAAAGGGCCTTTGTGGATATAAGGAAAACCTCTGAAGATGGGGAGACCATCCGCGTGGGCCCTGAATCCAGTGGCAAGTGTTCTTGTAAGAATGAGGTAGAGGGAGACAGGAGAGGAAGGCAGTGTGACCACAGAGGCAGAGGGGGGCCGTGTGGCCACTAGGAGCTGGAAGAGGCAAAGAATGGGGTCTCCCTGGAGCCTCCGGGGGGGCACGACTTTGCCAGGTTTCAGACCTCTAGCCTCCAGAACTGAGAAAGTCACTCTTTCCTTGAGACTGTGGTCATTTCTTACAGCTGCCCTGGGGAACTAACACCACCCTCACTTTACAGACAGAAAAGCAGGTGCAGAGCAGACCAGCCTTGCCCAAGGTCACCCTGGGGGTCAGTGAGAGACCACGTCTGGAAGCCAGTTCTAGCCGAGGCCACAGGAGGCATTGGGCAAGGGCAGTCTGGGGGTGGGGTGGCAGCAAGACCAGCCTCCCAGGTCAGCCACGGCCCCACCTGGCCCTTCCCTCTGACCACAGAATTCTCAAACCCAGGAGACCGTCACTGCGGGCAGGGAGGCAGGCTGGGCCCCACCCCAATGGTGGGTGAGGGTAGACACCAAGCTGTCCTGCAAAGCAGAAGTCCAGGGGCTACACCGTGCCCCTGCGGCCTGCATGGAGGGCCCAGCCGCCCGCCCGACCTGCCCTGGGCCACCTGGAACCTCACTCACCTTTCAGCTTCTCCCCAAACATGGTCAGAAAAACAGTGAAGTTGATGGGCCCAGGGGCCTCCTTCACCATGATGTCCAGCTCCTCGTTCTTCACGTTGATTCGGCCTGTGGGGTGGGGGTGGGGCCATTGGGACACCCGGAACACCGTGAGGGTCCGAGGGCACCCCACCTGCAGGCAGCCCCAGAGAGCGGAGCTTGGGACCACGGAATGTCCTGCAGGGTGTCCCGCTGTACTGTCCCACCCATGCCCACTCAGCCCTGAGGCCCTGTGATCCTGCCCGGGGACCTCAGGAGGCAGCACGTTTGGCCATAGTCAGCACCAGGCTGTCTCCAGCCTGACCACCTGCCCCCATCACGTCAGCTTTCCTGGAAAGGAGAGCAAGTTGGTGGCTATCCCCATCTTACAGATGAGGAAACTGAGGCCCAAAGAAGCTGAAACTGGGGTGCATAGGGGCTGGAGAACCTGAGTCTCGGGGTTCATGTCCCTCAGGAGGGGGTCAGCTGGCTCCTGGAGGTGGAGACTGGGATTCTTCTTGATCCCAGTGGATAACCAGATATCCAGGTGCTTACTCAGTCCAGATATGACTTGGTTATGCCCCTTTCTCTGGACCTGAACCCCTTACCTGTCTGTGACTTAGGACTCCTGCTTGGGCCCTTAGGAGTGTAAGACTCCACTGGCAGGGGAAGCCCAGTAGCCTTGAGCCCTGCAGTGCCTCCAGGCTCTTGCCCTGGGTGGCCTTTCTCCCTGCTCTCTGGACCCCTCCTCCCACAGGCCCTCCCATGCCAGGCCGTTGCACTAGCTCTTCCTGTTCCTGAAACGCCCCCCCTCTCTGGATGAGTCTCCTCTAGTGCCCAGGAGCCTCCCCTGACCTTCCAGGCAGCCACCCCCTCTTCACATCCATGGCATCTGCTGCCTAGGCCCAGCCCCCATTCACCCACGCTTTCTGGACGGCCTGGGTTCTGCTCTGCCCCAAGCTCCAGCTTTCCGCCTGCTGGTCACTCACCCAGGGCAGCAAAGGTGTCCCTTAGGTCCTCCTTGTCGATGAAGCCATCCCGGTTCTGGTCCATGATGGTGAAAGCCTGGTAGAGACATGGGCACGGAGCAGCCACACACTGGCTCACCCAAAGCCAGCTTCCCTCCCCAGAGGCCCTGCCCCCAGGGGCTGTCCTGCAAAGCTGCCTGGGCAACCTCAGGGCAGACCCGTCTGGCCCTGAGTCGCCCAGCTCAGCACTGCACCAGCATGAGAATGAGGCTAACCTATGCTGAGCTCCTACTGGGTGCTGACATGCTGCCCGGCTTCATGCATTCCCTCATTTCATGCTCAAGCAACCCTGTTCTACAGAGAGGGAAACTGAGGCACATAGAGGGAAGGACTTGCCCAAGGTCACAGAGCAAGCAAAGACTCTGGTAGAGAGAGGTAGGGGCTGGCCAAGGACAGTAAGACACATCTCCAGGTTCTCGGCCACACTGGCAGCCTCTAAGAATAGCGACATCCTCAGCCCCAGGGACCCCATGCCTTCCCAAGCATTACATGAATCCTCCCAAATGGCATCAGGGGCACTGACCAACCTCTTTGAACTCCTGGATCTGGGACTGATCAAACATGGAGAACACATTGGAGCTGGCCCCACCTTCCGCTCTTTTCCGGGCTCTTCTTGGTGCCTGTGAAGGGCCAGGTGAGGTACTGCAGAAACCCTCCCTCCGGAGGTCAGCCCTTCCCGCTGCTCTCCCGTGTCCCCCACCAGGCCTCATGTCAGGCCTATTCTCAGTGGCTGCCCACAGTTCTGAGTGACACTGCCCACTCTCAGGCACACATGGTTCCTAAGGATGCCTGAGGATAAGCAGGGCCTTTCCCCAGCCTGAGAAGCACCTGCCCCAGGGGCCAGACAGCTGCTTCCTGAGGGAAGGGACCCTGCACACTGTGGCAGCCGCTGAGAATAGTGGCATCCTCACCTCCAGGGACTGGGGCTGACCCCATGCCTTGCTCTGGAAGATAGGCAGGTGGTCAGCACCCGGGTTGTGGAGCAGACAGGAGCTTCTTTGCTAGCATCAGACCCTGCATGAGGTCCCCTCCTCTCCTGCCACCCTCCCCCAGGGTGCTCAGGAGACCTGGGCCCCTCAGCCCTGCAAGCTCTGTCCTTTGTGCCTCCCCTGGAGCTTCTGCCCCACTGGCTTAGGACCCCCCGCTCTGGCCCGAGCCTGTTTTGCCTTCCTTCTCTCCCAACATTTTCTCCTGCTGTCCTTGCTACTGGAATGCCTTCCTGGCCTCCCATCTGGAAGAATCCTCATCCTTCAGGCTTGACTCCTCTGCCACTGCCTCTAAGAAGCCTTCCCTGACCCCTGGGCCACCTTAGAGCTCCCCTGATTCTCCCCTCCTCGGCAGTCTTGGGTGTCCGCCCATGGCAGGTACCACGCTGTCCTGCCATGTCCCCTGTGTTTGTGGGGATTGGTTCGGAAACAGCTGTCTGGAACTGAGGGCCAGATCCCTGCATCAGGTAGAGTAGGCAGCCCCCCGAATGCGGGGGTTCTCAGCTAGGCTTCCTGCCTCCACACGTTTCAGAATGTCATGGTGCCTGAGAGCTCACTACTGGACATTCGCTGGAATCTCTCTGTCCCCAGTACCCACCAAGGGACCTTTCCATCAGCAGTCAGCACCACATCCCCCCACCCCTCGCAGGGAGTCTTGGACTTGGCTCATGGCCAAGTTTGGGGGAAGGACAGCCTGGGCTTCACGACACAGAGGTGGAAAGGGGTGTTCCCCACAGACACAGACTCCTGCTCCCGTCCCTCACCCCAGCTCCTGCCACCATCTCAGCTTGTACCAGCCTCTTTGCCAGACCCCTGTCTACCCCACTGCAGAGCACGGCTTCCTCAGCCCTCTGCAATGCCTGTGTGGCCTCTTCTTCTCAGCTCCCTCCTGTCCCCCGACCCGCACTGGCCCCCACTTCTCTTGGGTTCCTGGCTCTCCTCAGGAGCAGCAGCACCGGGCTGGCTCATAATTAGCTTTTACTGGGTGCTTTGTCTCCACTAATCCTTTGAAAGGGGGCTGGCAGGGCAGCCAGGACATTATGATGCCATAAAACCTCTGTAATATTTATAAATCCCTTCAGACATCATAAAGGAAGGAACCTCCCTGTGGAGTCCATCTCACGTAATTACATATGCATTTTCCTCTGATTAATAAAAAACAATCACTTCTCTCTGTGGGATACCCTGCCCTTTCTCTCAGACCTGCCCTCTCAGCATCCCCCATCCCTGCCTTGCCCCAGCCTCTCAGGTTCACCTTGTGAAACATTGCCCTACTGTGTGCCAGGCCCTGTCCTGGATCTCATGAAGGAGGAAGGGATGGTTTTCTCTGATGTCCCAGCTGGGACTTTTTCCAGACCTATTGTCTTAGAAATTCCCTTTTGTAATGTGCTAGGATATAAAAATCCCCCTAAAGGGACACCTCAGGGCAGAAGGGGGTCATCCAGATTTGAGATCTAATCCTGGTTGTGCAGCTCACAGCCTCTGTGATGTGAAGGCAACTCACAGCCTCCGTTTGCCGCTCTGAGCCTCACTTTCCCTATTTATAAAACCAAGAGAATGCCTACCTCAAAGCATCAGGACATTTATTAGGTAGCTGCTGACCGGTAGCCAGGCCCTATGCCCAGTCTCAGGGACCAAGAGCTGAATCAGGCCCCATTTTTGTCCCCAAGGAGCTCACAGCTGAGCTGGGAGACTGACCAAAAATAGAGGGTTGAGGGAGGGGCAGGTGCTGAGAACAGGGAGAAGGCCCATAGGCTCCTGGGGCGCTCAGGGCAGACCTCCTGGAGGAGGTGGCTTCTGAGCTGAGGGGTGACAGAGTTTTCACAGGAGGGACTGGCCAGGGCCTGTGAGAGAGAGGCCTGAAAGAGCAGTGCCGTTGAGAACCCCCAGGCACACCCGAGGGCCTGGAGCCCAGTGGCACAGGGAGGGCAGCAGGGCAGGTACCCATGGCCCAAGGACCCTACAGCAAGACCAGCAGGACCCAAGTCAGGCGTCACAGGGCCCAGGCTGTTCTGAAATACCGACCCTGACCCCCATACAGCAAAACAACTATGTCGCTCATGAAAGCAGAGCACCACTTCTGCCATGAAACCTCCAAGCCTGGCCCACCCTGTCTTCCTTCCCCTCGTCTTCTTGTTCCCCCCTTCACCTTGGCAGCCCCCGTTGAGTCCAGGAAAGCAGACCCCCAAATTAAGATATACATGTATGGGCTGGCTACCCATTAAGAGCACCCTGGGGGGGGCAGGATGGGGATAACATCAGGGGTGAAGAAAAGGTCTCGGGACTAGGGACGACATAGGTCAAGGTCAAGGATGACAGTGAAAGGAGCAAGGTCAAGTCAGGGTGAGTTCAGGCAATGAGGTGAAGGTCAGAATCACAAATGAAATCAAGATCACAGGATGAGGTCGGAGTTGAGGAATGAGGTCAGGGTCAAGAGGCAGGGCAGCCCAGCCTACCATGGTCTAGAGTGCTCCTCACACCGCAGCAGGGCTGGAGGAGTTCAGGGATGGCTCTTTAAATAGGGTCCCAGGTCTGGACTATGGTTTGGGAGGTGACAAAGGACAGGATGGGGGCCTCCCTGCCAGGCACCTGTTAGGGGCCATTCAGAGTGGGTGGGGTTGTGGGATCCAGGACTGTCCAAGCCACAGGGCTGCCCACCAATACTGGGCCAACTGGATCTCTGGAGCCATGGGACCAAGGCCTAGGAAGGGGGCGCTTGGCCAAGGCACACAGCAAGTTGAGGCCAGGGAACAGCTAGGAAGACTTGGCCTTGGGCCATGCAGGGTCAGGAGAGCTCTGAGGCAGGGCCACCCATGCCAGCTGGGGAAGCTCAGGGCTGCAACGTGGCCTGACCCCTCAAGCTGTGTGACTCTGGGTGGGACACAATCTTCTAGAAGGCTCAGTCCTCTCATCTGACAAGTAGGGAGCCCCTGACCCCCTGCTCAGCTCGTGGAGAGGCTTTCTGCATCAGCCTGGCCCACCGGGCTCCCCAGTCAATAGGACTATTGCCCTGTGGTTATCAGTGCTGCCATTACCCACCCCAGCCAGGACCCTCAGGGAAAAATGGAGACAAGGGAAAATTGAAAAATCAGATCCCCTTCCCACTCTGGCCATACTTACCCCCAGATGCAGCCCATCCCCAGCAGGCCCGGCACAGCCCAAGAACTCTCCAGTAGATGTGCCAAGTGGAGCCTGCACCTGTCCCTGGCAGGCCCCCAGGTGTCCTGTGCGGTCCAGCAGCCCCTGCCTGTCCAGCCAAGCTGGCTCCCATGGGGGCCTAGCATGTCTGATCGGCTGCCAGGGCCGGCAGTGCTGGGCTCAGGCAGGGAGCCCACTTGTCTCCAGGCGCTGGACAGCTTAACTGTCCCTGGAGCAGGCCTCAAGCCTCCAGGCCCGGGTACAGCTGATCCCTGCCTTGGAGGAGGGAATGTGACAGTGATAGAAAGTTGCAGCTAACATTTATAAAACACAAGGTCAGGCTGTGCTCTAAAGTACATGTTCTCATGTTCAATTCTCACCTCATTTTCCAGGTAAGGAAACTGAGGCACACACAGGTTAAATCACTCCCCCAAGGCTGATAAGTGATGGTGCCAGGAGGAGCCTTGCTTTGTAATGCATTCAGAAGGAAACTTCCAGAAGGTTCTGCTCATCCCAGTGCTCCCCTCCCTGAGCCATTCCTGCTGAGCTGACTCTGGCAGGGACAGACCACTTGCTCCACAGGTGTTCAGCAGGCTGGGGTGAGAGGGAAACCTGCTGTAGGGGCAGGAGCCCTGGATTCCAGCCCCAGTCCCACCTGACCTGCTTCAGGAGAAGGGCAGTGTGAGAGCAGCAGGTGCCTTCCCCTTTGGGGCCTGTGTGGAGGCACCCACTGTCTGCGCCAGCTGCGGGGATCGGGTTGGTGCATCTGGCCCTGGGGCCTCCCGGTTCTGGCTCACTGAGTGGGGAGAGACATGCCATCCTGGGCTAACACCTGCTGCCTGCTGCCCAGAGGCACCCTCATGAAAGGGCTGGATGCCTCTAAGTGCCTGCCTCTGGGGATCACCAGCTCAGACCACAGAGGGGCTCCTGGGGGCCTAGGACAGTCCTGATGCAGTGGAGTGTCACCGGCCTTCCGGGAGGAGAGCACTATGAGAAGGAGCCACCATGAGGCCCGGGCTCAGCAAACTAGTCGTCAGGGTTTTCTTCCCTGGCCTCCTTCTCATTCACGTTACAAAAGCAGGAAAAGCTACACAGAAACTGATGGAGACCATGGAAATCCTGGGAGAGAGGGCTGGGAAACAGTTGGCCCTGGGGCAAGGGGGACTCAGCGGGGAGGACGCAGTTCTACCTTCTCCTTGGCAGGTAACCCCACTCGGCAGCACAGACCCTCAGTTTTCCCATCTGAGAAATGGGGTCAGCCACCTGGGCCCCAGAAACTGCCATGGGGAAGGAGGTGGCCTCTGGAGTTGCTGGCCTGGGTTTTGGAGTGCAGACCTCCCCACGTGCTCAGAGCCCTTTACAAAATTGACAGCCTCATCATCAGCCAGGTGGGGCTGGGGCAAGTCTGTTAGCATCGCTGGGTCACATTGTTGGGCTCAACTGACCATGCGGTGATGGCCAGGTCTTGGGGTCAGAGACATCCCTGGGGGTCTGTGCCCCCAGCAAGGGGCCTCCTGTGAGTCAGTAGCCTCAGCCTGGCTGAATTACAGGAGTACTTAGACCCTTATGAAGAGCACCCCCCTTTCCAGAGGGCAACCTGAGACCCTACGAGCAACATGGCCTGAAAGAGATCAATGGCCACCCCCTGCAGGTTGATAGCAGTCACCCAGACCACATGGGATCAAGGTGGGCCAGGCAACCTGACCCCTTTCCCCTAGCCTCTCCCCTCTAACCTCTCATGGTCAGCAGAACTGTCCCCCGTTCCTCAGGTGCACAGCCCTTGGCTCCCCCAGGCCAGCCACCACCTTGACCATCTTCACTGTTTTCCAAATGGGTCCTGCACCTCCTTCCTCCAAGCCTTTGCCCACATCACATGCTCCCTCCCTCCCTGCTGTCCATCCTCCCACCTCCCACCCCCTCTCACCTCCTCCCAGAGGCTCTCCCTGGTCTCCCTCCCTGCCCTCTCCCATTGGGATCTTGCCTCTCTCTGACCTCCTCTCTGAAGACCACGGACTGCCTGCCTATTCCTTGGCCCTCAGGTCTTACCCCCCTTGCCCTCAGCCTCCCCTCACCTGGCCTCTCTGAGCACGGAGGGGCCCCACAGAGGCAGGGTCCCAAGTGTTTGTTCTTACGGGCCTTCTGTGTGGGGAACTGTTGTCACAGACTTTCTGGCCAAAGGGATCTCAGAGGCCTAATGGGAGCCCTGCTAGATGCTACTGGATGCACTACAGCTCTTCTAGAGTCGCAGCCTCCCCTTCAAGTGGTTCTTGCTCATAAACCATCTGTGACAGGGAGCTCACCACTTCTCAAGCAGAGGCAATTCAAATTGGCGAATGCTCATTGATTGTGTACTGTGGCCCTACAGTGGGTATTCTGGGGGACTGAGAACTTATCTGACAATCCTTGGATTTGGATCATTTTAGTAATGCAGTCAATATACATTGAGTTTATTCATTCATCAAATGTTTATGGAGTACTGATTGAGTGTAAACACAGCAGGCGCAGCAGTAGCCAAAACAGGTGTGGTTCCAAGACTGAGGGCACCCAGACTGAGTGCCACCACCCATTCATAGGTCCATAAACTGGGCCTTGAAGGATGAGGAGTATACAGTGGGAACTGTCATTGCTCTGGGAGAAGAGCCGGTGAATGTGTGGAACATGCAGGCATGCCCACAGAGCTGCTCAGATATGAAGGTGTGTAACATGAGCGGCCAGGGTCAAACAGGAGGTGGGAGCAGAGGGGACAGAGCTGCTCAGATAGCGGCCAGTCAGGAGGTGATCTTAAAGGCCCAAGCAGGACCCAGTGAAAGACCCAGCTCGGGGGCTCGCTTTTCTGATTTCAAGCCACTCCCAGCCCACTGGGCAGACAAATCCTGCCCCTTCCTCCCCCTTCAGCCGTGAAACCCACAGCTATTTTTACAGCAGGATGCTGTGGCCACAGGCCCCTTGAACAGGATGTAGCTGTCGTGCTTCTGCAGCATGAATGCATTTGCCAGCTTTCTTGGCCGCAGCTATAAAACAGGCAGGAGGCATTCCGGGAGACATTCTTCTTAGCTTTAAAGGTTTCCTTGTCTTTTCTAAGTGGCTCCAAATTAGAGGAAGGCTCCAGACAGGGGAGGGCCTGAGGAGGAGGGGACAGTAGGGAGTTTGGGAAAAGACAGACCTCACCCTAACTGTCCTCAAAATATCAGTCGTCCCATCTGGTAATTAAGAGTTGATGATGGGAAGGCAATTTCCTTTGGGGCAAGAGGGAGAAAAAGCTTAATTGGCTCCAAGTCCAGGTTCTGCCTGAAATATGAACTGCAGGGTGGTGGGCTGTCTGGCCTGAGCCAGACTCTGGCCCCTGGTCACTTGGGAGTGGAGGAACCCAAGGAGCTAAGCTACCCTGGACAGGCCAGAAAGGGCATGTCATGCCCCACGCCAGCCAGAAGTGAGCACATGCCTTTTGCCTCTGCAGAGAGCTCAGGGCTGCTCTGCCGACCGTGCGTGTTGGATGTCCCTCGACCTAATGCCAGGGAAAGATTGCGCTCAGGAGACACACATCTCCCTCATTTTGGGGCCCTGCCTCCAAGACCTATTTGGGGAGCCTCTCCAGGCAGGAAACCTTCCCCATTGCCCAATCTCTGATCTCATTCCTGAGAAGGTGATGGGGAGGGAGGTGATGGCGAGAAGCAGGTGTGGAACCCAGACCTCCTGGCCCCTGACTTAGGGGAGAGTCTTCCCACATGCTCACATCTTTTTCCTCAGAGCTGAGTGGTTGCAGAGGCAGATGGGGCTGGCCTGGTGACTGAGCCATGTCCAGGAGGACCCAGGGGTCCAGCAGTGGAAGCAAAGGGTTCTCAGTGAAGATCACCTGCTAGAGAGTGATGATGACATGTCTTCCCAGCCACAGTAGCCACAAGACAGGTTGGATGTAGCACCAATTTGTGCTGAATTGTAGAGACTCAACAGCACAAGAGCAACTGAGGGATTATAGTTTACAGTCAGTACAACTTAGACACATGGTTGTAAAGTGAAGGTATTCTTAGGTTGCATTAATAGAGGTCTAGGTCCTCAAACTAGGGAAGTGACAATGTTACATTCTACTGTCCTACACAAGCAACAGAAGACTTATGCTTGGTCCTAGCCCTGGGCTTTGGGTGTGGGAGCTTTTTTGCAGGACAGCAGCATTTAGTCACATGAGTTCTGGTTGTTGGGCTGAGACTCTCAGCTTGAGAGAAGCAGCCTTAAGGGGAGCATATCTGTGGCAACCATATTGGTTCATCAGCTGGGCCAGGGCCTATAGACCCACCCATTCAGCTGCCATCTTCCTTCTTCCTGGTTCTGCAGCCAGACTCATAGCCTCTCTCCAAGCTCAGCCCTTTGGGAAGAACTCTCCATCCATTGCCCCATTTAGATCCCACTGTTCTGGTTATTAGCTATTGCTAGGTAAAGAATCCCCCCAAACAGAGTGATATGCTCAGAGGTTTCGTGGGTCAGAAATTCAGGAAAGGCACGGTGAGGACAGCTTACCTCTACTTCCCAATGACTGAGACCTCGGCTGGGAAGACTCTAGGGCTGGGGACCATCCGAAGGCTTGGCCACTGGTGGGTTTGGTGTCTGGGTGGGGAAGACTCAACATCAAGGACTACTGACCAGAGTGCTCACACGTGGGACTTGGGCTTCTGCACAGTATGGCGGCCTCACGGTGGTCAGACTTCCCACATGGTGGCTCAGAGCCCCAGCATAGATGTTCCAGCAAATAATGTGGGTGCTTCATGGCTTCTTGTGACCTCAGCTCAGAAGTTACGCAGTGACACTTCTACCCTACTCTGCTGGTCAAAGCTGCTACCAAAGCCCATCCAGCGGCAAGAAAAGATGACATAGCCCCTGCCTCCCAATGGGATGCACAGACACATTTTACAACTGCCACTCCCACCCAGCCTGGGCTCAGAAAAGCTCAGAAAGTGGCCTAAGGTCCAGACCTGGTAGGTAAAGGAATCAGAACTCAGATCCGGGCCCAAGGGACTCTGGCCTACTGTCAAGTACGTGGCCTGCTGTCTAGGAAGGCCAGGAAATTCACCTGGGGCTGGACAACATGGTAGGTGGTCACTCTCTCTCTATAGCCAGGAAGGCCCAAGTTTGGAAAGGGGCCAGAGCAGGGGTGAGATACCAGGCTCCTCAGTTCACAAAGCACATCCCTTTCTTTCCCCCAAGAGTCAGGCAAGGCCTCACCCCATTGGACAGCTGAGGGAACTGAGGCCTGGAGTGGGGAAGGGCTGGTTCAAGGTGCCGCTGTAAGACTTACACCCCAGCCCCAAAGGGATACCTGGGAGCTGAGCCTGGATGGGTCCTTCTGGAGATTCAGGGCATCCCGGAAGCAGACGGTTCAGGCAGTGCTGGACTTGGGTCCCTCCCAGGGGCCCGGAGGCTGCCAAACAGGCCCAATTTGCTGTGCTAATGTGTGCCTTCTGCAGCTTGCAGCTTCCTCACACCCTCTCCTGTGAGCTGGGCCAGAGGCAACAGAACAAGCTGTAATTATGTCAAGCCACACCCTGCTGCCCTAGCTTAGCAATTAGCAGGGTTGCCCAGCATCCAGCAGGTTCTACCCCAGCCTGGCTTGGGGTGGGGTCATTCAGAAGCAGGGACAAGGATGGGCTCCTTTTTGAACTCCCACATACCTGCCTGAGAAATGAGCCTGCAGACAGGGCATCCCCCCCAAGCTGATCGGCCATGGTCCCAGACAGACTTCAACCACCAAAGGAGACCACCAAGCCAGGACCCCTACCCACCCCACAGGCGAGGGTACCCGCAGTGGAGGGGACAGTGAAAAGCAAGTAACCCCCTGCAGTGCCCAGGCTGATCTGTAGGGGACTGGCAGCACAGACTGTCCACTCATCTGCATGAGCACTGGAGTCTGGGCTCTTGGCCCTTCTGGACCAAATAGGCTGTTCAGGAGGCAGGGGCCACTCCCTCTGAACTCTCCAAACCATGAGGTCCCTGGAGGAGATCCTTATTCCCTTCAGTTCACAGAGCTCCTGGGTAGGACAGAGCCCTCAGTGCCAGGGGAGCCCCTGAGTAGGTGCCCTGAGTACCTTTCCCCAGAAAGACCCAAGGCCTGCCCCTTACCTGTAAGGCCTCAAAGTTCAAGTACTGCCTTGACATCTTTGAGGAGAGCAGCCTTGACCAACCCACATACCTTCAATGAGGTCGGGCTTCTACCCAAGGTCAATCTAGATCAACTGAGATCAGCCAAGCCCCAGCCGAGCTGAAGATCTATGAGAATGAATGATTGCTGCTTCCACTGCTGGAGACGTGGAGTGACTGGCTACACAGCCAATAGCAAATCTCTACACCACAATTTTTCATCTACACTGTTATACGAAGCTACAGGTGGTTGGTTCTCAATTGTGTGCCTATAGCACCATGAATATGCCCATCTTCCTAGCAATGGGGACCCTTTTGCTATCATGACCACTGCTTCTTTGGACATTCTTATAAATGTCTCTTGGTGCGTGTGGGCAAGTGTTTCTCTTGGGAATATAAGAAGCAGAAATGCCCATGTTCAACCTTATATGGTAGGGTTAAATAGTTTTTGTAACAATTTTCACTCTCACCAGCCGTATACTAGCCCTGGTGATCCCATCCTTTCTAACGCCTGCGGTCAGACTCGTTAATTTTTGCCAATTCAAGGAGTCTAATAGGCATCTCATGATGTATAGGTGGAATTGTGTTCCTTCATATAGATATGGAGTACTAACCCCCTGGATCTCAGACCGTGACCTTACGTGGAGATAGGATCTTTATAGGGGTAACCAAGTTAAAATGAGGCCCTTAGGGTGGGCCTTCATCCAACAGGGCTGTGTCCTTATAAAAAGAGGAAATTGAACAAAGACACAGACAGAGAGGGAGAACATTGCGAAGACACAGGGAGACTGACATCTATAAGCCAAGCGATGCCTGAAGCTGTCACAAGCTAGGAGAGAGGCTGGGGACACATTCTCCCTCAACTGCCCTTGCAAAGAACCAACTCTATCCCAATCTGGATCTTGGATTTCCAGCCTCCAGGCTGTGAGACAATTAATGTCAGGTATTGAAGGCCCCCAGTTTATGGCACTTTGTTACAGCAGACTCTGGAAACGAATACACACAGCAGTCTTGGTTTGCACTTACCTAGTGAGATTGAACATGTCCTCTGATGTTTATTGGTTTTATTTTTTCTTCTTGTATAAAATGCCTGTTGTGGTCTTTGGTTATTTTGCTTTGGATTTGTTTCCTTATTGACTTAACTGGAATTCCTTCTTTATTCTTGATTTCAAGCCTTGGTTGGTATTTTATTCCAGTTTGCAGCTTGTTTTTTTTTTCTTTTTTTAACTTTCTTCAGTATGTCTTTGGATGAGTAAAAGTTCTGTTTTAATGTAGCCAAATTTCTCCATCTTTTCTTTGAGGTTTGGTGTTTCTTGTGCCTTTATTTATAGCAAACAACACTGACCACAAGTGGGTACTAAATATTCTTTAACAGAGATAAGTTAAATTATGTTGAATTCATGCCACGAAATACTATACTGCAGTTAAAAATCATATTTCCGTTGAATATTGTGATGTAAAAGGATGTTCATGTTATAATGAGTAAAAATAGCAAGTAGCAAAATATTACACACAATCTTACTGGATGAATGAGTTTGCTGGATGAATGAGATCTCCTCTGCCTTTCAGTAGGCCCAGACTTGGAATAAAGATCACACAGTTTGAGTTGGGTCCATCCCTGTAGGGAAGAGAAGAGAGCCCTTTATTGCTAGAGCAGGATTACCATGATCGAGGCAGGTTCCCACCAGCAGATCTCATTCAAAAAGGAAGCAAGACCAAAGTCACACCAACAAAAGAACGATATTCACCCTGATGTGAAATTGGCCTGTGTGCTTTTGAAAAAGCATGAAAACCAGGCTCACTTTGTGAGATGCGCATAGCTCTTGTCCATGAGGGAGGTCCCATAGCTCTCTCCAGAAGGGTCCTTTGCTGGGCTGAGGTGACAATCTTCACCCCATGCAAACCACCAGAATGGTGTGGAGTGGGGGGCAGATGGGAAGGGTCAGAATTTCCCCGTCAGAGAAGTTTAGGAGCAACAATATTTTGGAGGGAAGGAGCCAGAGATTTGCACTGAAGTTATTTATGTTCATATAACAAATGTCCTGATTTATTTATATTATCTATTTCAGGGGGCTCGTGAGATGGGGGAGTACCTGTAGAGGTTGGTGAGGGGAACGAAAGACCCCCCTAAGCCATCACTTGTGCTATGTCTGGTCTGAGCTGAAGAAGGTATGGGATTTTTTCTCCAGAGGGAAGGGGAGGAATATCCAAGACAGGGGTGCAGGGCTCAGAGTGCATCAGACAGAGGGATTTGGTGGGGGCTGGGGGGCTGCAGGGGAAAGGAGACTGGAAAGAGAGAGGGCAGGAGGAGGGCCCTCTCCTCACAGAAGACCCTTCCTTACTAACAGTTGAGCTGCTCCCGTTTTCACATGTTTTGTGCTTCCTTCCTCCACACTGTCCTGCCTTCCAGAGGCCCTGACCTTGGAAGCATCTCTGGCTTGCATGTCCCCACCTCACTATCCACCTACCTGGAGGGCTATGATGTTTAATTGTATGTGTCAACTTGGCTAGGCCCTGATATTTGGGGGAACATTATCCTGGATATTTCTGTGAATGTGTGTTTTTGATGAGACTAACCTTTAAATTGTGGACTCTCAGTAAAGCCGACTGCCCTCCATAATGTGGGGGTTGGGGGTTGTGGTGGCTCATCCAATCAGTTGAAGGCCTTAATAGAATGACGATTTACCTCCCCGAAGCAAAAGGAATTCGGCCAGCAGACTGCCTTTGGTATTGGGTGGCCACTTTTCCTTGGGTCTCCAGCTGCCAGCCTACCCTGCAGATTTTGGACCTGTGCCTTCACAGTCTCATCAGCCAGTTCATTAAGAGCAATAACTCTCTTTCATCTTGACCAATCCAGGGGCTGAATGGGGAACTAGTCATGCCTTGCAGGAGGAAGTTTCAAGAATGAGGTGAGCCTAGGCTGGCTTGGGGCAGACAGAGAAAGCAGATTTGCACTCTAGCTGAGAAGGGATATCAGGTGTGTTCCCCATTGCCTCCACAAGAGGCCCCGGGAGGAAATGTTGAAACCAGCATATAGCAAGCACTCAATAAATATCATCAGATGAACGTGAGTGAATGCAGGTTGTTGGTGGGAGTGGGCAGAGGGGAGGGGTGCCCCAGCCCTTGGGGAGGAACAAGGACTAAACTCTCCAAAGAAAAGACAGGAGAAGGGTCCTCTCCCTGCCCACCTCAGCGCCCGGCCCAGGGATGGGCACATTGGGATTCTCAGGGAAGCCTCTCAAGGTCATGCTCCCACCCAGCCCTGGGGCAAAGAGGTGCAGCAGATGCCCCATGCTGACCTCGGGGTGCCCACATTGTGGGGAGCCTGCAAGGCGCCCCAGTGAACCAGGGGCACTGTTTGAAGTCCCAGCACCTTCTAAGGATTCAGTTTAACAAGCCGGGTGCTTTGGACACCTGGATGAAAGACATGAGATAATTACCAATTAAAGCTATTTTCTTAGAAACAGGAAGGTCCCTTTGCCAAGAATAAACAGCAGGGGCAGGTGTTGCTGGGGCACAGGACCTGACAGTTGGGAAAATCATTCTGGGTGGGCTCAGAAGCCAGTGTAAGTCACAACACAGGGTCAAGTGAGGCCAGAGCTTCCCCTACCTGAAGAGGAAGGGTGAGAATTCAGCAGAGATACAGCGGCCTGGCCCATGGGTGGCAGGAGGAGCCCCACCTCACTGCCTTCCATCCTGCCTGGCAAGAATGAAGGAGTTACTTGGCCAGCCCAGATGGTGGGGACTTCTGCATGTAACTCAGGGCATCCTGACATCCTCTTCAGGATGTTAACTTGATGAAGAGACAAACAAGGAGGAATCTGGCCCTGTGCTTCCCTATTCACTAATTTCACAAACACCTATTGAGTGCCTCCTGTGTGATGCTGGATGCTTGGGGTCCGCCAGTGGACAAGAGACAGCATGCCTGCCCACCTAGGGCTCACCTCCTAGTGGCCAAGCCTCACTGGCACTTACAATGGAGCAGATACTGTTGAGTGCTTTACCTGGGCTGGCTCATTTTATCTTCACTCCAACCCTAGAAAGTGGTCTGCTAGGGTCGCCATTTACAGCAGAGGCAAAGTGATGTCCTGCTGTCACCCAGCTAGTAAGTGAGAAGCTTGAGCCTCTGAGCTAATAGCCACTGCACAGCCCATCCCTGAGCTCCAGGGCGTTTGCCCTGCCTACAGCTTGGAGGTTGGCAAACAAGGTCCCAGGTCCTCCCTGGTGTCCATCCCTCAATGAGCAGCCTCATTCTCGCAGACTCCCCCAGGTGGACCCAGCCCACACCTCTCTCCGGGAAGCCCCTCAAAGCCAGGTCAGG